TGCACAGGACAATCCCAAGAGTCACACCATGTGCATGAGAGCAGTGTCCAAATGCTTCTTGAACTCTGGCAGGCTTGAGCTGTGACCAAGCTTCTCTGGGAAGCCTGCTCCAGTGCTTAACCACCCTCTGAGTGAAAAAACTTTTTCTAATACCCAACATAAATCCTCCCAACACAGCTTCAGGCCACTCCCTCGGGTCTTGTCACTGGTCACCAGAGAGAAGAGATCAGTGCTTGCCTCTCTGCTTCCCCTTGTGAGGAAGGTGTAGACTGCACTGAAGTCTCACTTCAGTCTCCTTCAAGCTGAACAGACCAAGTGACCTCAGCTGCTTCTAGTGTGGCTTCCCCTCAAGGCCCTTCACCAGCTTTGTTCTGGGAAATGCTGTATCAATTCTGGACTTGATCTGGGAGGTTGTTTCCAACCTCAGTGATTCTATGATTTTATAACATTGTTACATATTTCCTGGAAACTGTGGTTGGTTCATTCTCCCAAAAAACCCTCTTCCATTTTTTATGTCACACGCTCAACTGCTCAAGTTCATCTGCTCAAGCTTCTGTATCTTCATAAAACAGGGCAGCAGAGGGAGAGGTCTTCTAGTTTGACCTCTTGCCTGTTGCAAGGTCAAAACCTAAAGAATTATTAGCTTAAATAACATTTACTACTCAATGCCCAGTATGTCCCTCATAGGAAGATAGGCTGCAGTCATTGTGTACACTTATAATAAATGTAATCAAGCTGCATCAGAGGAGGTTCAGATGAGATATTAGAAAAAAAAAATTAAATCAAAGATTGATTAGGCATTGCAGTGAGTTGCTTGGGAAGATGGTGGTCAGAGACACCACCTCCTGAATTTCAACATGTATCTGGATGTGGCATTTGGAAATATGATTTAGAGGTGATATGGTGCTGCAGGGTGGACAGTTGGACTAGATCATCTTGAAGCTTTCTTCCAACCTTGATTGATTCTATAATTTTGTGATTGTCTCTGGCTTACTTAGGAGTACAGACTCAATGTAGCCAGTTCTCAATATTCTGAACTACCCAGAGACTGCCTTCGTTGAATGGAGTGTAAGACTTAAAAGTTTGATGTCCATAGGTAGGTGGTATGAATGATGCCCTTTACAGCTTTTTCTAGGCAGTCCCAAAGTAATGATTCTATAGTTTTCTGCAAAAATTTATGTGACATAAATTATGAAATTTTTAGTAGCAACATATATGTCTATAAATAAATTAATTAATAAATTAATAAGTGACAAAGTAAATATTCACTATTAAGCTAGGTGTAATTTTATAAAAGCAAAAAGGTATCTACAAGTGAATAAAATATTTAGAAATTCAAGTTATCAGTAAGTTTTGTCAAATAGTTAAAAATGGTACAGCTGTGAAAATGTTGCACGTGACAGAAAAAATTCTGGACTGGTCAGATTTGTTGGTTAAAACCATGAAAAAAACCCAATTTATTATGCAAATTAAATTTCTAATAGTTTTTCATTAAACTTTTCTAATTGTATACAGGCAAGTTTGCAGTAACCCACATTCTCCAAAAACAAAATATGTGTGTATGAAGAAATATGTGTATATAATGGTATATGTGTGTGTGTGTGTGTGTGCAAGCGTATGTATGTATGTATATGTATATATAGTATGCTTGTAGTGGTAATTTTTATGATGCATAATACACTGTATGTTATTTTTATTATTATGACAAGCTAATAGATCTGAAGTCTGAAAAACTAATTATTTTCCTAATGTGTTTCATTTTAGACATCTGAGCAGAATGGTGATTTTGATACAGAAGTGGTGGAGAGGATATCTAAGAAGAAAAAACTTCAGAGAAATAGTGGAGGTAGAAAACTACTCTTTAAATTTTTGTTTGGTTATTTGTAGAATACGTATGAATAATTCATTCACTCATCATGAAATTAAAAAGCCGAAACTCAATCCTCTATACACACAGACACACACTTAACTTTACTGTAATGAAAAGCACCATTAATTTCAGAAAGCCTACTCATAACAGTCAAGTTAAGTCAGTGTTTAAGTGTTTGCAGCTCTGGAATATTGGTCCCCAAACCAGCAATGAGATCTGCTCATGCAGAAGTCTACTCACATGATACTAGTTGTGGGATTGGAGCTTTACAAGATGCTTTTTTTTTTTTTTTTTTTCTATTGCAGAACTTTTAATTTTGAAAGTAAAATAAGCCAATTTGTCTACACATTGCTATTTTATGTTTTAGTGGTACAAATTTCTTACTTAATGAACCTTGAAGTATTTGAGGTTTTGCCTTAAGGCACACAGCAGTCAATCTAATTCCTGAAGAGAGTGAAAGTGTGTGATAGCACATAAGCTAAAACCTCTGTTAACAAGTTTATGGAACTAAGAAGAAAATAATTTAACATAAAATATGTGGTTTACTAATTTATCAATTTATGTAAATATTTTACAGGAGTGTTAAACTCATTAGTCATTTATTCTTGATTAAGTTTGTTAAATTGCTGTTTTTAAGTCAAAACAGACAATTCAGAAAGTAAAAAAAGAGCTATAATAAATCGTATATTATAGACCTGAGTTCATACTCCCTACTAAACTATGTTTTCAACTAGCAGGACTTGTGTACCTGAAAGATCATTTATTTTTTCCCCAAGTCTATCAGTAATCTATGTAAAGATTTTCTCTCTTCCAACTTACTAACTGGCTTAATTTATAAATGATGAGCCATTCTGAAGGTGTGTGGTTTTCACTCGTCTTCTAACAGTAATTCCTGAATACAGAACAGATAGCTGCATGGTTGCATTGGGTTCTTTTTTGAAAAAAGTAGGACTTCAGCTGAATATTGTTCCTGAGTTTAAGGAAGGTTTGTTTAATCTAGTAAAGCTTCTGTAGAAGAGAGATATGATAATCTATCTTAAAATTTGTTAATGAAAAGAAAGAATCTCTGCAATTGCTGGGACAAAGGAAGGAAGGAATCAGCGTGATCAGATTTCCTGTAATCACAAACCTGAGACAGCTAACTCCCCTCAGCTTTCTGTTCTTGAATATAATTCTGAAAAGTAAAATAAAATAGTCTTTAATCAATAAAGCCTTGTGCATACTTAGTTCTTCAAATAGACATAACTGAAAAACTTGCCAAATCTGAAGTCTATGGAACAATGTAGGACAAAAAACTCTGCAACTTAATACATACATTCTAAATCAGATCATTAATTCATCCAATTTCTGGATTCCAGAACTTATTCAGTGTTAGCCAGGGCTCAAAGACAATCTCATCAGAAAGCTTACAAATTTTACAGCAATCAGCACACAAAATTATCTTTTTCCCTCGAATACTACATTTTGTTCTTGCCATCTCTTTGATTGGAGAAGACTAAACAGGACAGCTTGATTGGAAGCCAAGCTGAGTACCACAAGAGTATCAGATAAAAAGGCACATTCTGCTGCCTTTGGACCGCTATATTCAGTGTGTTTTGGGGTGGGCTTAAATATAAAGTCCTTATATTATTTTACTATCTTTACTCAATTAATGGCTCAACTTGGAATTTGTAAAAAGCCAAATCCCAGCAACTTAACATAACATTCAAGTTAAAGGACCAGGCAATGTTTTTTGTTGATTTTTTTTTTTAATGAACTCTTGCCAATAACTGTTGTAATGACTCCTGACTATGAAACACAATGATGCATTTGGCATGATAGTTCCTTAAATACACTGGTCACTTTTAAATTTGTCTGCTGATAATGATTGCATTGGTATCTGCTGCCAGCAAACAAGGCAAAGCATATGCACAAAATACCCATGATTGCTTGATAATAAATCATTTTAATGATTATATTCAAAATTGTGAAATGTGAATGGTACTGATGCGGAAAATAACAAAGGCAGAGGCTCATCAGATTGACTGTCCATATGTGCATCACCACTAGTATTTCATTTGCTTCTCCTCTAGTGCCTTTGATTGTTAAGATAATTATTTTAAAAATAGGTAAAATCCTAAAAAAAATGAACAACTATTGATGGCATTTATATGATTAAAGTTATGTGCCTTTCTACTCTAAATATTGGTGGTTTGATAGAAAGCTTTGTTTCCTAATTAATCTCAAGCTAAAATTAAGAACTGCTCTCCAACAGTTTTCTTAATAGGTTGGTTACATTGATTGTGTTGGATTCTGAAAGTTTTAATAACCTACAGGAAGGTATGAGTTTTAGAATGAGGCAAACACCAGAATATGTGTATCATTGTTTCTTTATTACTATTTTCCCATAGTCAAAGAATCATTTGCTAAAGCAAGGGGAATTGTAACTCTTCATTATTTTATGAAGCTGTTATGCATGATGGCCATGTTTTCAGTTTACTTTGGAAGGAGATGCAGTTGAGAAAAGTGAATATTTATGTTATGTAGTTTGACACCACCCTAAGTAATTTAGCTTTAAGTCAACAACCAGTTTTAAATAGTTCCAGTCCAATAGAAATTAGGCAAATGCCTATTTACTCTACAAAACCCCCCAAAATACACCATTACCCCATTCACAATTTAGAGTATGTGTTGCTTCCTTCTCTCAACCTCAATCTCACTCTCAAACTCAGTCACATTCCTGCTTCTCTTTGAATTTATTTTGTATTAACTCTTCAAAGCAAAAGAAGACACCAATCAGAGCACATTTGTAGATGATCCCCAAGCATGTTTTTAAATACAAAAGGAGAAAGTAATACAAAAGTTTATATATATAAGGCTTCAAATATGTTCTAAAAACCTGCACTTAAGGTAAGCTGGTAGGAAGGCCTGTACATTAATACATTATTAATGTCAGACTTCATGACAAAGACATCCTGGCTTTGTGGTACATGAGGTGGTAGAGGTGGTACATGGATGAGATGAGAAAGTAATTATTTCTAGAGAGTCAACCTGGTAGTGTCACCCTTGAATAGGCATTTAGTGGAAAAATTAAGGGCATCCAATGGGCATGGGCTGAACTGCATGAATTTCCACTTAAGCAAAAAAAAAGAGTTTTCTGGACAAGCAGGACCCAGTTCAGGAAAGAATCTTTTGTTTATTAGGAGGCCATGTAAATGTAGACTTGGATTGAAGCACTAAATTATGACTCTGCTTTTGTGAATAGCAATGAACACCTTCTCCATCATTTTTAATAGTAAAACTTTCTAATCAGGATTAGAAAACAAAGGGCAAATACATTTGCAAAGGAACCTAGATGGTGAGACAGCCTTTGGCTTTTTGTGAAAGAATGAAGTTGTAAGACAGTTGCATGAGCAGTTCTTTATTTGGGAGACTTGTGATTTAGAACAAGAGTTGAGTTATGGCAGGAATGTGTAACTTCCTTCTTGTTTTGAGTGACCCTGTTAAGTGGTGGTAGGGTAAGGCCTGGATTCCTCACACCTTAGTGGGGTGTGCAAGATCAGACCTTAGGTGCCGCACATTGACTCTCTCTCTAAATAGTAGACAGAGTTCTTCAATACTTGGCCAAGCTCAGAGTAAAAGTGGTCCCACATTATCTCTCAGTATGGATGACATAACGAACATTAATGATGTTAGGTCTCAAATTTATGTTCTTCAATGAAATGGGGTGAATTCAGACCTAAGTGCTCACAGCCTTCAAATATGAGATGAATAAACAAAAAGGTGTAAAATTGTTTAGTTTAATCACTGATGGACAGAAATCTGATGAATATTTTTAAGTTTAGGAACATGTTAAGCTTCCATTAAAATGCATTTTATCTATTTGGTGATGTGGTAACTCTTATGTTCCCTTCCAAAGAAAGAAAAGATGAGCTGCAACCCAAAATTTTATCCATTTGGTTGAGCATTTTAGGGATATGCTTAAGTAAGGCAACCATTATTTCAATCCATTATTAGCTATCTACAGTTAGTATTGCTCAGTAAATACTTATGCAGAATAAGGAGGAGAGAGACAGTCCATCATTTATTCTAATTTGTACATTTGAGGTAGATTTTCCCTTGAATATATATATGTATATATCTATGTGTATGTATACACATTCACATGTACGTGTGAAACTTCTTTGAACTTTAACAACTTTGCAATTTTCTTTCACATAAGAAATATCTTTTGTACTGTTTCCATTATTAGTAGATTGGTATGATATTAAAGTGAGCATTTAAAATGCACCTTAATTAAACTGCAGGAATTATGCCTTGCTTGATGTAATGAAGAAAGAGAATTTAAAATGAAGTAGCATCATTGTGTTCATTTGTAAATAACATATTGCAGCCAACTGTTTCTTAATTGCCCAGACTGTTGATAAATAATCCAGTCCTGCTGCTCTCCACAGACAATTTGCTTTGGATCAGACTAGGCAATTCAAATAACACTAATTACAGTGAAACCCTTTTATAGTGAATTCCTGTTTGCCATGGGGGAGAAAATCACTATATCAGGGGAAAGCACTTTTGCCTTTGATTTGTGTCTAAAACATGAGAAACACATAAAAGCTGCATGTTGTGCTAAATAAAGGACATACTCTTGCATTCAAAGTACTTATATTTTACTTTTTATGATACAATTGTGAATTATGTTCATTTTGCATTTGTAATTAGAGGGCGGAACAGATGTGAAAGCTTAGTTTAAAGTGATGTATCCATTAAAATAACCTATGCTGCCAAGTGATTGCTTAGTATAATAGGGGATTCGTTCACTATGAGAGGAATTCTACTTTATTGGAAGGAAACCAGGACTTCAGGAAATGTTTTCTATATCAGGGGATTCACTGTAACATGGTATCATTGTATTTATGATTTTATGATGTTAAAATGAATATTAAATGAAACAAAATTCCCAACGATTACTCAGGAGGCAGCTAAGTACATAACATTTAGTACAGATGGTTGGAAGGCACAATTTTGCTCCATCACTGCATCCGTATCCTTGAACGATTTCGACTGAAGACAGCATTTCTCTGAATTTTTCATTAAACCAGACATCTTGAAATATGAATTCCTTTTATGTTTCTGTGAGTTTTGGCTAAAAGAACCCCAGTGAATAAATCATACAATACTACATGTCACCAGCACTTGTGAATATTTCTGCTTTGTTATTCTACTCTCAGTAGAGCACCATTGATTATCAAACTCAGCGGAGAGCATTTTATGATCATATATCTCCATTAGCTCCTAGTTTGACTACCATAGATTTTTCTGGTTAAGCCTGCATTATGTATTAGGAAGCCTATCTCTTCAATACAAAGTTTGATTTTATTCTCTCTAAGCCTAGAACTCTTATTATGTATTATGTATAAAGATTCCTATCTTTTATATGTAAAAATAGCAGGACTGTCTTTGTGTAACTGAAATATATGCCATCTTTTTTTTTTTTTTGCTTCACAGAGAGCATATTTTATTAAGAAGCTGAAATTCTACAATGAAATGGCTGTCAGGGTAAATATTTCTTCACTTGTTAAACAAATGAAAAGTCAATTGTGCTCCGAATTTGCTTTTAATAAAATGAGCAAAGCAGAATAATATACATTTGATTGATATGCTGATGGCAACAGCAGGACGTACTACATAGTTAAAAATTAAAGTTACACTGAGTAGTCCGGTTGTGTTTGAAAACTGTAACTGAATTTGAGGTATCTGAATGCGTCTTGCCCCATTTAAATCTCCATTGGACCTTATCATGTATGATGCTGATAAAACCCCCAAACATTCTATCTGCCAGTGTTCCTACAAGTGTAAGAACATTTGCTCTACTAATGTAGACACATATTTACAGTTCTGACAAACTACAGGGCTTTTAAGCTTGTTGATGTAACTGTGCTTTTTCTCTTGTTAGTACATGACATTTGATGTACTGGATCTCAAGAGTTAGAGAGCACAGGACAATTTCGTCTCTTAAACACAGAGGTGGAACTGAACTGATCTCATTGATGATATTATCAGTGAATTTTTCCTAATGAAGAAGAGTATAAACAGACCTTGAACTTCAATGATGAAGTTTGTTGTGGGTGAAACTGCAAAATGTATTTAATTAGAAGCTAGTTTATTTTTTATTTTATTTTGAACTTTGATACTGAACTTGAAAAAATATGTAAAACAAGTATGGGTAAAACATAAAATAATTTTTAGGGTTAAGTCCTTTTATGTTATATATTTCTTTCATTTTGTGATACAAAACCGCTTTACTTTGTAGGCCTGTATCTTTTTAGGCCAGGCACCTTACCTTTTGAATTCTATCAAATGTATGAATATGGTGACAATGGAGATTAACCCAGGGATTAACCCAGGGAAACTTGTGTAGAGTAAGAAGATTCTCAGAATGGATTTTAATTTTGTGGCCCTTCTGAGTCCAAAATAACTCAGTCAAGAGCTCTGTACTCATCAGGTGTTTTGCTGAGTTTTGATTCTCTAAAAGGCACAAAGTAGCCTTAGGTTTGGTGCATATTAAAGAACTGAAGGTATTTAACAGCAGTTTAGTACCTCAAAAATGTACCTTTTTGTTATAGTTGATTCCTTACTTAGCTAGTTTGAAAGTATTCTGCAGTGGATAAATGCTGTTTACTCATGCTGCTGAGATAAGTGGGGGAACATAAGATGTAAGTCAGCTCTTAAAAGTTGCCTCTGTACTTCCAGAAGACATTTGAAGACCAAATTTCGGAGGTAATTATGTATTCTAGTCAAATGGAGTTTTGCATTTGGTCTTTAATTTTTAAAAGAAATTGAATGTGCTCCTATTCATTTGTAATGGAAATATAATGTTGAATCATTAGGTGATATAAATCTTCAAAGTACCATTTTTTCAGTCATGTCCTTTTCTTTAATGGAAATTTAAATCAGTAGAAAACAATAGAACAGATCTTTATTTAGTTGCAGATGTCAGAATCTGATTCTCCTCTATCTAAATATTGTGCAGCCATATCTCCAGAGCAGACTTAAAATGCTACCAATCTGAAACGCTTAATGCCTTTGGGTTTTTTTCTGTCATGTGTTTCTTGAAGAACTAACCAAGGTCCAATAGCAAATCAGGCCTGTTGAATTTCTGCATAGATGATGTCTGCTCAGACTTTAGGCATCCTAAGCCAACAGTTCCTTATATTCACACATCATGAGCTTGATTAATGATTAATATAACTCAGTGTTCTAAAAATATAGAAATAACTGTGTATGTTTCTCCATTTAACCACTTAGTTTTGTCTCATGGTATTATTAACTCTTTATTTCAGTTTATAGTCACTCTACAGAAAGGCAGTTTCAGTTTTGACATTTGAAGTATTATTGAGAGCATTCACACGATCATAGTTTTGATGCCAGTTTACATATCTTGTCCTTCTGGATTGCATTTCATTGGAATCAGAGCTATTAGTTTTACCTTTTAAAATTAAATCAGAGATCTTGTTTAAATCTGTTTCAGTTTTGAGGCAAAATATGATTCTCTCTCTTAAAAGGTTTAAGGTTGCTGTAAATTTTCACCAACAAAAATAATCCTATGGCAAAAAAAATCCATGAGCAGATGGCTTTTGATATATCAAGGTTTTGCCATTTGTTTTAGTGCTTAAAATAAACATTATTTATAAGACCACTTACATTTTGATGTTACTTAATGAGGAATATGCATCATTGATTTGACTAGCTTAAGAGGTCATTTAGAACTTGCCCGTTAACAAGCTGTAATCTGCTGAGCACACAATGACTTTGTTTAAAATTATCTGTTCAGTGCTGATCAATGACAATAATTGTTTTGTAACAATCACTGTTGAAACTTGCTAATTACTTTGAAGGGCATACACACACTTGTCTCTTCTTTTTCAAGAATTTTTTAAACATTCACCTTGGAATTAAAAAGAAATGCAGTCGTAACATTATACTTCTTTATAAAAGCAAACATTCAGAATTTTCACATTGAAAATATGAGCGTCATTAGAAGCTTTTTATAAAATGGTCTTTCCTAAAAAGATTAATCTTCAGTTTTGGGATCGCTGACATACAGTATTAGGGAAACAGAAATCAGGCATAAAATAATTTGAGTCACAGTGCAGTTTTTCTTACTTATGTTTCATTCAGTTGAAATCAGTGAGTTCATTCTGAACAGAAAAGCGGTGTACATAAAGGTAGAGTGCATCTTTTAATTGGTACACTGAGCCCATTGGAGGTAATTATAGCTTTATACTATTTGAGCCTTTTGTCTTTCAGTTTGAGTTTTGATCATTTAACCCAGAAATATCCAGTTCTGCATTTATAACTGTGAGGTGAAAACTGTCAGAAAGAGTTTCAAAGGGACCATAATCCTGCATTAATGAGTGCATGGCTATATGGGAGCCAAGTTGCTCTTGTTGAGAAATTTTGAAGCCAAACAGAAAAACAAAGCTAAGATCCTTATTCACATGCAAAGGATTTTGCTTAATCCCAGATCTCTGAAGGCATACTCATTCTCTGCTCTTTCTCTATTCCTTTTTAACTCAATAAGCTTGTGTATGAGAAGCAGTGTTGGAAATAATATGAAATTTACCATCACCTACTGCAAAGCAGCATGTCTAGAATCTTTCTTTTTCCCACAACTCTTATTTATTCATATCTCAATAATATCTAGAGGTCCAAACCCTTTTCATTTAAAAAAAACCAAAACAACAAAAACAAACAAAAACAAAACAAAATAAACAACCCCACAAAAAAACCCAAACCAAAACAATAACAACAAAAACAACAAGAACAAAACAAAAAAAGTCACAAACAAATAACAACATGTAGTTAAAAAAAAATACATCTTTTCAAACTAGTTTCAAGTCTTATTTTGGAAGGGAGGAAAAATCCATGCTGATACACAAAGGGGAAATAGGAGAATATATTAACTTGGGAAGTTAGTATCCTCTTATTCTTAATAACTAACACATACCTGAAAGAATTACTGAAAGCTTTTCTGTGATTCTTATTTTCTTGTTGAATCTCACATAAAAAGGCAATCATAACTGTACCCCAAGGTGTCATCAGTTGAGGCCAAATGTTGATTTTTACTTTGAAGAGTAGTGTTTGGGAGTTTTTGAATGCAAAAATGGTGACAAACTATGAAATATTCAGCCCTGCTTTAGTTGGTCTCCTCTTATATGTCCATTAAAATCTGGAAGTGGAAAAATTGCAAAAACTTTTGTCAGTTGTCACAGTGGTACAGAATTGCACTGCACTGGAACTGGTAGGAGTAGAGAATTTTGCCTGTTACTGAAGAGCACTCACAAGACTTGATGATAAAGATTCTGAAATTACTGAGTGCAATGGTTACTGCAATTGGCAGCTTTTTAAAATTTGTCTTCTTCCTGAATCAAACACAAAATGCATGACATTCTCTCCCCCTCCCCCTTTTTTTTCAAAAAAAATATATATTTATCTGAAAGAGGTAGGCTAAGAAAAAAAAGCCAAATAGCACAAACACATGGATTTCACTCCACTTAAAAAGTCGTCCCTTGGTTCTGGAAAGAGAAATGTTGATGTAAAGAAAAAAAAAAAAGTTCCTTATAGATACACCGATGTGTTTAAATTCTTGAGAAGTTTGGCAGCTAGGGGCCCACAGGAAAAGGAGAGCTCTTAGTACATTGCAACATTTTACTCTTCTATGCATTTAAATAAGGGGAGTAGCTTCTGGAGAGTAAAACCTCCAACTTCCTGCTTTTTAAATCTAGATTCTGCTTTTCAGCTGTCTTTTAAGATTTCAAACCTATAAAGGTCAAAGAGATGGATGTTGGAGCAAATGAAGCTACTGCTGACTAGAAGATAGAAATTGGGAGATTAAAGTAGAAAAATACTGAGGAAAAAAGGAGAAAAAATGCAATTTAGGAAGTAAAGAATATTTTGCAGGAAAATTAATAATAAGTTCAAGGATGGAAGAATTTAACGATGGAGGAACTACACCCTGAGAAGAGAGGAAAAGATGGTTACTCTTTTTCAGATGTAGAGATCCAGGGTACACTGACCTCTGACGGCAAGGAAAATCAGGTGCAAGAGCAGCCCTCAGCATGACTGAATAGAGCAAGTTACATTTTTCACCTCTTCATGTCCTGCCATAAGGATAAATATAACTCACCAAATGGCAGTCCTGCTAGCTTTTTACCTAATTACAGAATCACAGAATTACAGAATAATTTCGTTTGTGAAAGGCCTCTAAAGGCATTTTGTCCAACCTTTGACTGATCACCACCTGTCAACTAGACCATGGCACTAAGTGTCATGTTCATTTGTTTCTCAAACTCTTTCAGGAATGGTGACTCCACCACTTTCCTGGGCAGCCCATTCCAATGCTTAATTGTCCATTCTTAATGCTTACTTTGCCATGCCAAAAAACAGATAGTAACAACAGGCAAGGATTTCAGAAATTTCATTATTAGAATTTTCAAGTATCAGAGATTTAAACACAATTGTTGAAATCAGTTCTTAGGGGAAGTTGGGTAAACTAAGTAGGTTTTTTTCCCCTTCTCTTTTATTTTCTTCTTTCTCTCTTTTATTTTTTTTTTTTTAACTGATGCTTTTCAAAATGCACCAAAATATTAACCCTTTTTGGTGGAGGATGCTACCTAATTTCTATTTATAATACAATTTTATAACTAGCTACAGATAAAGAGCTTTTCTCCTCCAGGTTAAACTTCCTCTAGGTTAGGCTTTCTCTGTTATGCAAGAGAATAGTATTTCTTGAGAACAATTAAATTAATGTGGAACAATAATTGACATGAATCATTTTACATTTGAGATGAAAAAATTGCAATTTATAAGTGAATTTCCCAGAAAGACAGATTCATTGGGTTCCTGGGAAGGCTTTATTCAGTTTACACCTTTGCAGGGCATGAAGGTGAAAGTGTAGCAGAAGATGTAGGTGAGGTGGTGACTCAGTGCTACAAGACGTTACAACCTATACTCATTTTCTTCACTGAAACTTATAGGTGTTTCTACTTGGTATCACTTTTAAAGGAAAGAAGTACTTGGGATATGGTACATATATTTGATATGTATGAAAACTTTTGATTTGAAATATACTAAACAAATATTTATTTCCTCCAGATCCAGAAAATATGGCGAGGCTATTATGTTCGGAAGTATATCCATAATTTTTATGTACTGAAGAAATACCTGAAAGCTGTTTCTGTGAATAACGAGCTTGTCAGGTAAAGATAAAAGCTCCATATGGTAAAGCATTCACTTGTTCTTCTTTTATTTGTAGAAACTTTGTGGCACTAATTAAACTCTTTGAGTATAAGTTCCCCTCCATTATCAAATGTATGTATCTATCAGTCATCATTCTCTTTATCCTATGTCTATTCATGTTGCACTGCATTCTGTTCTCATTTTCACTGTTATGAATTCAGAATAATTTCTTTGAATTAATTAGGTGTGCTCTGGGTTTGTACTAGTTTAATAAAAACGGATTTGTCTCTTCACCTATGCTCACAACTCATAGGTTATTATGTCCTAAATTTTTGTGTTTAGGGTTTGTTGAACTAAATTTTTTTCCCCAGTATACACAAGCTAACCAAAAATGTATTTTTATAATTTGTTTTGAATGTGGATTATTGACAGTGAATGCAAGGGCAAATTTGGATGCATGAGCCATACTATGAATATTAACAGGGAAAGATACTTGTGTGGATACAGTGAAGCAGATTCTTTCTGTAGTTACAGAAGAGAACCAATAGCCAGTCAGATTTCTGTCTAGAACTGTTGTTGCTCTATGTTCTTACTCTATTTCTCGTATCCATCCATTGTCTTTCCTGTACTTAAGCTGAAACCTCTCTAAAATAGAGGTAATTATTTCCCTCTAGTGGATTTGATATCCTCATCCATGACCATTACTCAGATAACAGTGGAAACAAACAGATGAAATGCTGGGTGACCATGATCATTACTCTCTCAGTGTAAATGAAAGCTGTTGGACAAAATCCATGCAGTGTTTGCCATTCACAATGTTTGAGACAAATCTTTGCTTTCCCAGGCACAGAAATATAAGGGAGTCTAGTAAACCAGTGTTTCTAGAAATCTTGTAAAAATCACATGGATTGCATGTTACATAATTACATGGATTATATGTTACATAGAGCACCATATGCAAGTTATATATGAAAAAAACCCAGGATATATATGAAAAAAACCCAACTTCTTTGTATGCTAGTTATTAATGATATTATTCTTCCACAGTACAGCTGGTGCTACATCCTCTTTGTCATAACATTAATTTTTGTGCATTACATTGTTACCTATAATGAACCATACTGATAGTCACCTACTCTCATTATCTCTCATCATTATTCAAGTGTATTCTGTGCAGAAAGTTAGGTCACAACTCAGCAAAATCAGACTTAAACATTCTGTTATGGCTTCAATGGTATTTTCTTGATCTGAAATCCTTGAAATATTCTTTCTTCTTGAAAAGGTAGAACTCTAGGAAGACTTGATCACATCTTAGAAAATAAGTGAAACCATAACTTCTCTGTTTTAAAATCCATATCACTGGATAAACTGCAAAACCATAATCTGCTTCTCTGTTTCTCTGTTCATAGTCATTCTATCACTCTTCTCCATTCCCTGCCTAAACTTAGACCATGGCTCATAACTTGTTGCTTAGATTGACCTTTGATATGTGCCAACAAAACAGGATAGCAAGTGGTATTCCTGCTGCACTGTGGACATGGAATGGTTGGAGCTCTGTGTTTATTTCCCCACACCCACAATAGATCTCTGCTGAGTATACCTAACTTCAGAAGGCTACAAAAATATTTGGTTTTCAGTACTTTGACATGTTGATCACATTCCCTAGTGTTTAGTGTAGGTTATTAAAAACCATAAAGCCTGTGCACTGCATAGATATTTTAATCAAGAAATGCTTCTGTGCTTTTTAACAGGTAAGATGAGCAGTATGACTTCAGGTACATCAAAATGTGTCAAAGCAAGTCTGTGTGAGCTGTTACCTGGGAACTGATATATTGATATTTTGCTAACTTGAGTTCTGCATTCAAGAGTTCACAGAAATATCTGTCTTTCAGGGTGAAAAAAAAAACAACATCTTTGAAGTTAAAAAAACTTAAAAATTAATTTTTGAGATAATTTGGACAAATGGATCTTATTGTTTCAGTTTTAAAAATGCATGAGTTCCCAAGTGCAATCAAGAATCACTGCAGTAATCCCTTTACTGGGGTACATTTGAAAACTAATATGTATATCACCTTCAACATTCTTCTTATGAAATCTAACAGATGTTTAGTGAGGATTAGGTGTAGGCCCTCAGCCAAACAGATTTTTCCTGTCATTGGGCTAAGTTGCTGCCAACTACTTTGGCCCCAAGGTGGCCCACAGTGTTTCTTACATGGAATATTGAGCCAGGTGGAGGAAAGATTCTCCTCATATTTTCATTAGCCATTACATTGGCTCTGGACAAGTATATCCTCACTGTTCATAAACATTTTTGCATATAAAAATTATTGCAGCTGTGCACTGTAAGAAACACAAGGAATTGTCAGAATAGAAGGAATGCATTTATGAAATGGCTGTGTTTTATTAAAACATCAACATTATGGAAATTGACTTGTTGATGGGGAGAGAGATTGATACACTTGTGCACTCATATTAGACTGCCTTTGAGTGTTTCACATCTTTAGAACAACATTAAGCAACACAATGTGGAACATGAAATAATGCCAGTAAATACATGAAATTGACCCCTGCCTCCCCCACAAAGAAAGCAAAAGATATTTTTAATTTCAAAATTTTAATTTCAAAAATTTGTTTACAATTTGTTCTTTCTAGAATTATGATGTAATTCTGAATTGAACTACACTGTACAGTTCTCTGTCTTATCTATTCTAGAGTAACACTGGCAGAATTTTAATTTGTCAACACCTATCTAAAATCACATTGCAAGTCCTCTTATTTTTTGGACACCAGAGCCAAGATTTGTGCCTAATTTTCTCCTCTTTCATTAAGGAGGAGCCTATATCAAATCATTCCTCACTCTAAGAGAAACTTCAGAGGAAGGTCTCATGAAAATTTGGACATTCTGTTAAGTTTCTTATAACACAAAATCACAGAATCATAGAATCATTAGGTTAGAAGAGACCTTCAAGATCACAGAGTCCAACCTATGCCCTAACACCTCAACTAAACCATGTCATCATGTGCCACATCCAGTCTTTTTTAAACACATCTGGGGATGGTGACTCCACCACCTACCCGCACAAATCATTCCAGTACTTTATCACTCTTTCTTTGAAGAACTTTCCTAGTATCCAACCCAATATTCCTAATATCCAATATATTTCCTTGGTGCAGCTTGAGACTGTGTCTTAATATATATCTTAAAAGAGTAATTGACTAAAGTTTGTTTCCTTCTCATTCCACCTTTACCCTAATTTTTTTAAAAATAAACAACACTTGTTGTACTAAGTGGTTTTCTCAACCAGTAGCCACGTCTTTACCATTCAGCTTTAATACAAACTGTCCTTATTTAATAGGTGCCCTCATTTGGTAGCCAGACCTTTATCATTTGTCTTTAGTGTGAAAACCCCAGGAGAAAGTAAACTTAATAGAAGCTGCCCCAGCTTAAAGCTATAGAGGAATGTAATTAAGTTTAACAGAAATTGATTTAACAGAAATTGACCTAAATATAATTAAATAATAATAGTCATATTATGTGTGAGTTTTCACTCACTTAACAGACTGGTTATGGCACTGTTAGACTTAACAGACTTAAGGCACTGCCTTTGTACAAATGGAAAATAACTCTCAGCTTTAGCTCCCAGACTGGCTAAATTCCTCCAGCATTCCTATCTCTTCCCACTGCTACAGAACCACTAGGTCTGATGGCTGCTGGTGTCCCCAGTAGAGTCCCTAGGAGTTACATTGAGAAATGCTTGAAAGAATCCCTTCAGAGATGGAAAAAAACAAATTTGAACCCTAAACTCTGTATTCAGAAGGACGTATTTATATTTTTCTTAACATTTGTACAGTTTAACTTCAGTGTAGTGATGAAATGGGTTTGTTAATCTTGAGTTCTTTTTTGCCTAAAATATATAGGAAGTTCTTAATTAAGCAAGTAAGAAACTTGTTCTTAAATTTTTATTTTACTATATTTTGTTACTTAGATTTTAGTAATAAATCTTCATCTGTAGCACCCAATTTTATTTAAGTACCAATATATACTATATTCTATCTCAATATGGATTAGTTGGTTGGTTTAATTTATAAATATATGCATGAAAGTAAATTTCATTACTTCTCAGTGCAGTTAGTGTATTTAATTTTAGGAGAAAATACTTTCTATACTTTCATTTGAAACATTCTTAAAGCTGCATTTACCATCTCCAAGAGCTGGCTAAATGGTTACAAGGGGAAATATGCCAAAAGCAATTAGCATAGGCTATAACTCCATATGATGCATTGGAATTTTGTTTTATGTGAAACAGTTTCCAGTCCATGATAAGCAAATGGACATCACTTCACATAAATTAGCATGCTGGTGCCATTATATCCGAAGAATTTATGGATGATGTCAGTTGCCCAACTGTGTGATTAACTTGTGGTTCTTTGCCTAAGGTTATCTACACACTGGCCTTTAAACTATAGTAAAGGAACTTTGCTATATGTCAGGTGTGCAAGTAGAGATAAGATTTTGGGATGTATTGCTCCATTTACTGATGAATGGCACCATTTAAATTTTTCCTGAGGCACAGAACTGGGTAAAGATAGCAGTATCAGAAAACTAACAAAGCAGTGGCAAAGTACTGGCATTGGGGTTCTTATGTAATCAAGGCAGATAGTTCAGCTTTCTTGGCTACTGAATAAACACTGACTTAAAAGTAGCAAACTAAGGCCTGAGTCTACCTTTAATTAGAATCATAGCTTACATAAACATTGTTGAGTTTAAAAATCAGGCATTTCACACATTTGCAGGGTCAACACCAAATTATTCTTTCCATTGTTGGCATTAGAAGTGAGTAGAGAGTGTGGCTTGGATCCAAGTTTGCCTAGCTGTTCTATCAGCAGATGTAGTTTCACAGTCATCATTAAAACTTCCAGGTCTTCAAGACACGTCAGGGAAATAGATAATATGAAACAATAAAAATCACTTTCTTGGCAGTATGTATATTCACAAATCATTTGTGCAGCTTTATTTTTT